CCACCAACTTCGTCACGTGCCTTAAGCACGTGCTCCAGCAACTTCTGCAGCTGGATCTTGCCCTGTAGTGTGCGGAGGCCCGGAGTGTTGGGCGACGACACGTTCACGACCAGGTAGTCGGCGTACTTGCCCAACGCGTGGACGCCCTGCACGTAGTCGGCCGCCGCGTCTTCGGTAAGTTTATTCTTACCCAAATTGACGCCCAGTACGCCAGCCCGATGGCCGTCGTCCTGGCGGTTAACACGGGAGCTGACGTATCTCTCGAGACGGGCACCGACGTGCTCGAGTCCTTTGCTGTTAAACCCATAGCGGTTGAATGAAGGCTCCTCTCTGTCCTCGCGGCAAATCTGAAGAACACGCGGTGTTCGGGTTTGCCTGGCTGTGCTCTTGGGTGTGAACACTACCGCATTCTCCAAGCCACCCAGACCCAGTTCCAGCATCTCTCTTCCATGTCCTCTCCGCTCTCTTAATCATAGACCGGCGCGCATACCCAGCGGGTTTGTAAACTCCCAGGCCTAGAACCTGGACATGCAGCAGCTCTGGGTCGGTCTCCGGGTCTTTGGGCGTCAGACCGAAGCGTGCGCACTGCACGGCGATCTTGTGGGCCGTCTCGGGCTCGAACATCCGCACCACGGGCATCATTGGCTCGGCCAGCTGCCGGATGACCCACTCATGCGGCACGACGCCGTTGTACGCGGCCACGACGGCGGCTGCGGCGCCACCACCAACAGCCACGTATGCAGCGGTGTGAAATCCCGACGAAGAGGACGCAGCTGAGCTGAAGGACGCGGTCTGAAGCGTTCGTGTCGCCCGACGGATCGAGGACGTCGCTGCGCGCATCTTTAATGTCAATCGGAGAGTGACGGCTGGTTTCAAACAATCCTCTCAATAGTTATAAATATTTTATTTCTGTCTAGGGGCCCAAAGGAGGGGCAAACAATGTGCGCAAATACCGCTCTAATATTTTTATTGAGGAGTCTGAATAATTATATAGGGGATTGTCAGCCTTTCAGTAGAAATCGGCAATTTCGTGAGACTAGAAGCGCGTGTCATACTTCTATCACCGTACGTGAAAGACCCAGGCGCTGAAGAAACACTTGCATATCCTGACTGTCTAGCTGTATAGCTGAGGTTGGCCACTTCTATTATGGCCCCGGACACCCCATGAAGCCGCATCGGATGAAACTCGCGCATCACCTGGTCGTCAACTATGACTTGTACCATAAGATGGACGTCTTCGTACGGACAGTGCTGGGTATATGGAAATGAAGAGCGGGGGCTGAAGGGTTTTGTGCCCTGATGTACTGTAGGAGCCGCACTGGGCGTCTGCAGACGAGATGAAGGTGTTCCATGCGCCAGACTACATTGAGTTCCTGCAGCACGTGAGTCCAGCGAACCAGCGGGACCCAACGATAGATCTGGCTAAATGTACGTCAATTTGAGGTTGTTATGGTGGGCAATGGACGTAAACCGTGTGTGCAGATAACTTCGGAGAGACGAGCGACACAGACTGCCCCGTGTTTGACGGCGTTTTCGACTTCTGTCAAATCTACACTGGAGGAACTCTAGGTTCGTGGCATACAGTAGTGCTACTAGATCGAGAGAAATAATACCCAGATCTATGCTGATCAGATGCGGTGGCGCGTCTGAACTTCGGACTCTGCGATATTGCGATCAACTGGTCTGGCGGTCTCCACCACGCGAAGAAGGCGTAGGGGTCGGGGTTCTGCTATGTGAATGACATCGTGCTCGGCATCTTGGAGCTGCTAAAGCGAGTGCTTTTTAACGGAGAAAAACATGGTTGGGGCTAGCGTTAATATTTGTTTTGGTGTCAGGTATCACCCGCGCGTGCTTTATATCGACATTGATGCACACCATGGTGACGGTGTGGAGGAAGCCTTCTACGTCACGGACCGTGTGATGACGGTATCGTTCCACAAATACGGCGACTTCTTCCCTGGAACGGGAGACGTTAAGGTATTAACTCCTTGAAGCCCGTCGATGGTCTTGAATGGGTAGACTGATATAAGGTTCTTTAACTTGGTTTTGAACAGGATATCGGTGCAAAGAGTGGGAAGTATTACGCTGTCAACTTCCCACTACACAGCGGCATGGATGACGATAGCTACGAAAGCATATTCAAGCCAGTGATAGATAAAGTGATGGAGACTTTTTGCCCCTCAGCAGTGGTTCTTCAGTGTGGTGCTGACTCCCTGACAGGCGATCGTCTCGGTTGTTTTAACGTAACTACACGAGGTCATGGTGAGTGTGTTCGCTTCGTTAAAGGTTTCGGTCTCCCGATGCTGGTACTGGGCGGTGGAGGCTACCGAATCCGCAACGTTTCTCGTGCGTGGGCCTACGAGACGTCGATCCTCGTGAACCAGGAAGTGTCCAACAACATTCCATACAACGACTACTTTGAGTTCTACTCGCCAGAGTTCAAACTGCATCTGGCCCCCGACAAAGATCTCAAGAACGACAACACCAAGGAATACTTGGAGAACCACAAGTATGTGGAATGTCGACATTTCTCAAAAGGAATATCTACTAAATCCTGAATCGTGTGTTTATCCTGTTGCAGAATCAGAATATTTGAGAATCTACGCGCACTTCCAGGCGCTCCAAGCGTGCAGATGCAGCAGGCGCCTCCTGCCCGGATGCTGCGAGAAGAAGACGAAGATTTATTAATAGTCGATCCAGATTCTAGATTTAAAAACGACGGGAAGCGCCAGCACGAGGCCGAGTTTTATCACGATGAACACGACCAAGACCATACCGTGGCGATGGAGCGACTCCAAACGTGGTCCCTATGGACGTCGACTAAGAATAGTAACGTCAATTACTTCGAAGTACTACGTAGCGGTTTAAATAGTACTGAGTTCTTCCTTAAAGAGTTTTTTTTGTTGTTTAAATTCCATTTTTTTAAATTGAGCGCAAACATTTTGGCACAAATTGGTTGTGATATCTGCTTATAGATGGGCCTTACAAAAACTAGCATTATGATGTTAACAGGTACGGTACTTGCTGCGTGATCAGCTCCGTACACTTCAACACCTTCTTCTTCTCCATTGCGCTCCTCCCTCACTTGACAATTCGCCTCATCGAGCTCACTCCGAGATGATCCGTCACGTTCTACGTCTCCCGTGTCGTCGAGGTGTTTCCACGCTGCGCACAGTCCAGGAATTCGACTACGTCATCGTCGGTGGAGGTTCAGCCGGGTGCGTCCTCGCCAATCGACTGAGCGCTGACGCGTCCAATTCCGTTTTGCTGGTGGAGACTGGACCCAAAGACCGTGGGCTCTTTGACTCGATTCGACTGGCAATGCCTGCTTGTTGACTGCCAACTTCATCAACGATCGGTACCACTGGAACTACGTGACGGAACCGCAGCAACACTTAAATGGACGCTGCCTGACGTGGCCACGTGGACGAGTTTTAGGTGGCTCGTCTTCGATTAACGCCATGCTCTACAGCCGGGGGCATTCATTGGACTACGACGACTGGCAACAAGCTGGAGCTGACGGATGGAGTTATGCTGACTGTTTGCCGTACTTTAAGAAGGCTCAGACCCATTCACTTGGTGCTGACGAGTATCGTGGAGGTGACGGCACATTGCATGTAACGACAACGAGACCAGCCGCTGTACCAAGTCTTCCTTGATGCTGCCATGCAGGCAGGATATCCCTTCACAGACGACGTGAATGGACACCAACAGGAAGGTGTAGGGTGGTTGGATCATACGATCCACAACGGACAGAGATGCAGTGCTTCTGCTGCGTACTTAACTGACTCTGTATTGGCACGTGAGAACTTGATAGTTGCTACCGATACATTCGTCAACAAAGTGTTGTTTGAAGGGAAGAAAGCTGTCGGGATCGAGACGGAGCCGTTCAAACCCGAGCGACTCAAATTCGAGCACTGAAAGAGGTGATTCTATCGAGTGGAGCGATCAATTCTCCACAGTTACTGATGCTTTCTGGTGTGGGAGACGCCGAGCACTTGAGAAAGATCGGAGTCCCCGTCGCACACCATCTCCCCGCGGTCGGACAGAACATGGAGGAGCATCTCGGTGTCTATCTCCATGTCGCGTGTAAGAAACCGGTGACGCTTTACCATGCAACGCCACATTTCCCGCGCAAGATGGCGTGGATGGGGATCCAGTGGCTGGTCTCCAAGACTCGCATGGGCACCTCGTCACACATTGAAGCCGGCGGCTTCTTCCGTAGTGCATCCGGTAAACGGCATCCTGATCTCAAGTGGCAGTTCTTGCCTGGTGCGAGTGACGAAGACCGTCAGCTCTTACGGGACGGCCACGCCATGATGTTGCATTGTACAGCACTACGCGCGACGAGCCGAGGCTACATCAAGTTGCGAAGTGCCAACCCGCGTGACAGTCCTGTCATCCAACCCAATTACTTGGCGACTGAGTCCGATCGTGTGGATATGCGCAATGGCGTGCGGTTGACACGTGAAGTTCTGATGCAACAAGCGCTCGATGAATATCGAGGAGAAGCGATCTCTCCGATCGCGGGAGTACAGTCGGACGCTGAGATTGACGCGTGGATTCGGCAAAATGCTAGTACGGATTACCACCCGTCCAGCACGAATCGAATGGGTAAAGAGGCCGATATAAAAACACGGTTGTCGATGCGCAGACACGAGTGCACGGGCTTGAAGGACTGCGCGTGGTGGACGCTTCGATCATGCCCAATAATGTTAGTGGGAACCTCAACGCACCCACCATTATGTTAGCTGAAAAGGCTGCTGATATTATCCTTGGTAACCCGGCACCACCCAAGTCCAATGCGTTGGTATATGAATCGACGAATTGGGAGACAAGTCAGCGGTGAAGTTTTAACATTGTAACTGAGAATGCTGTTAGTGAGCCATTAGAAAACTGGATACCATTCGCAGCAAACACGACCGGTAATTAAGGCACTGCGGCCTCTACAAGTTGCTTGAGTTCATTCAGCATCAGGTCATCCTTTTTCACTTCTGCT